ACACCAAAACCGTTCCAACAATCACCAACTCTGGTTTGGTTGAAATAAATCCTTAATTCACCGACGTAAATGATAAAAATAAATACAAAATGGAAGTTGCAGAGACTTTAATCTCGTGAATTTATCATTTTTAGCTTCAGCTCGCACTTAGCGGCAGTTATCCACATACATTATTATATACACAAGTTTGTACCTTCGAATTTTCCACTGTAAAAAGTAATTCAGTGGACCTGATCACCACTTAAATAAATGCATGATTGCAAGATAAAACTTCAGATAAACCTTTTAAGTTGCAAACATTATTTTATGAGTTGTGTTGACATAAACAACGTCGAAAAACTAGGTGGGACAAGTAAATTTTTATGAGTTGCCTAATCAAAATTAAAAACTTGTTTTTATGTTACCAATTATTAAGCGGTAATTAAAAATACCTTTGATTGTAGAGGAAAAGCTAATTCCCTGAACTCAGTGTAGTACATTTGTTGAATGTAATTTCATCCAAAGAGATTGAGGCAAACTGTTGCGTTAATTTTTTTTGTTGAGACAAAAAAATTTGTTTTTGTTTTCAACGGCAGGGTTACGAATAAAGTAACTGTTGATTGATATGTATAATGGGTGGAGTTCCTCTTTTAGAATTCATGTTTCATTTAAAAGTCACGTGTTGCCTCTTTATCACAGCCTTTGAAAATTGAAAAAATGTCTTGTTAGCTAGAAAGATATTTGTTGTGTTTAGCTTTAATGTTTTAATTTACAGTAGAATTCTAAGTATATATTATTATTATATATCTGCACCATGATTGGTTGCCGCTGACTTTGCCTCTTTGCGCTGACAGGACAAGACGAGCGCGCTCAGTCTGAGCAATGTGGCGGGAGTGTTTTACATCCTGATCGGCGGGCTGGGGCTGGCAATGCTCGTGGCTCTGGTCGAGTTCTGCTACAAGTCCCGGATCGAGTCCAGAAGAATGAAGGTGAGTCTGTTTGACGAGCGAACAATAACAATGCTCTTCTTCTAACTGACACAGAGTTTTAATGAATATGTAACTGATTATTGTATTTCCTGTCGTCAAACTAGTTAAAATAGACTATTAATCTACCTCAGATGTGAAGATATTCTGTCTCTACAGCAGTTTTTCCTCTCACTCGTTCTTCGTCTCAGTGCTTGAATGACACCGCTGAACCTCACTGAGCGGCTCTCGTTCTTCGGAGGCACAACGTTAAATTAGCGAAATAAAAAGGCCAAAAAACACAACTGGTAATGGATGCACAGAAGTTCTTACCTGCACAATAAAGATCTTTGTGTTACTGTCCGTAACAACTGAGAAACGTCTTCAGATGTTAGACTTGCTTTGCTGCTGTTTTGTGAAAACCTGTTTTCCTCTTCCTCTTAACTTCATTTGTTGATGCTGTCTCCATCCTTCTGGTGGGTGCTAAAAGATAAATCCCTTTATTATTTCACAGGCTTATTTTATTTTTTTGACCGCCCTCTCCTGTGAGAATTGCGTTGAAAGAACCGAGTCCCGATGCAGCTGTCCACTAGGAACAAAATATTTCGGGTACACTAGAGAACTGAACCGTATTTTTTTATATTTCACAGTTTTATTTCTTGCTTATTGTGGTCTTTGTCTGTAAAGTAGCTCTAGCTGGGCAGGGCTTCCCCTTCCTTTTAATGTCAGGAACCCCCACAGTAGATGAGTATTTGTCTAAAATAATCTTTTTTCTTTTTATTTTCAATCAATGATCAAACTAGGATCACTATAGATTATAATAAAAACCGCCACCTCTATTTCTTTCCTTGAACTTCCAAAAGATGTGATAAAAGTTCAAACATCATGTTCCTCCTTTTGCTGCGGACCCCCTGCGACCCACTCAAGGACCCCTGCTGGACTCTCCAGAGCCGCGGGGCAGGAGCACTAACATATTCTGCCATCTGAAAGTGCATCAGCTGAACTCGACTTATCTGACACTCTGCTCTCAAGCCCCTCTTTATCGCCGGCGTCTATATGTGATGAAACTACGGTCGCCTCATTACAGACCGAGCTGGTTTTTACTCAGACTTTGATGGGCTGCTCAGAAGGAACAAACAAGTCATTAGAGCCATTTTCTCCACCAGCGTGTTGCTCTCATCTCTGCCGGACTTTTGTTATTCTCCTCACATGTGCGTCTGAGCACAAAGACTGAACAAAAAAAACCCTCGCTGAAGGCAGCGGTGACACAACATGTGTGGAGGATTTCATCATTCGGAGCAGATGGAGGGGTTACACTGCGGTTACCTGCTGCAGAGGTGGATGTATGGTGGAGGAGCTCTGCAGCACACATGGAACTAATAGTCAATGCAGAAATATACCATGATACATCCTCTTCTGATACATTATTGATCCTCGGTCATAAATATTGCAATATGTTCTCTTCTGGAGAAGAATTTAATTTTTTTTTAACGGTGACGCTGTTCTGGTGTCAAATCGGTTTATTACTGATTGACGTTTCAGTTGTTCAAGCTCATGCCATTCATCACGTCACAACACAACAAATAACACACTGATGGTTCATCTCAGAGCCTCCACAGTGAGATGTAAAGTTGGTTTGAGGTGACGCTTTGAAGTCAATTTGAGATACTGGCCGAACCGTGTAATTACAGCAATGGCGTCCATCACGTGATGCACACTGGCCACAAAAAGACGTTTACGTACACTTTCAGGTAAGGGCGCTCCGGTCAGGGAATGTGTCTGCTCCGTTCTTTTGTTGGTCAGAAGTAAGTTTCATAAAGTCGCCCAAGAAACAAAACTTTTTGAATGTTTTCACCTGCGATTCCAGTTTTCCCAGCAGCAGCTCTTCGGAAATACTCAGCTCCGCCTCCGAGAACATCTCTCTTTTTCTCTGCACATTACTATAACAGGTCCCTGATTGTTACTATAGCAGCGGCCTGACCACATAACTCTGAGTCAAAGACTGCATCAGATGATCGATCAAACTAATTAGAGTGAATATCAGCTCATAACAATCGGTGACCGATCAATCGGCGCGCCCTTATTCTCCAAAGGCAGACCATTACATTAGTAAAATGACAAAAATCAGACAAAAAAACAACCGGCAGTCAGTCACTGATATGTTTGTCCAATCGTCCAACAGGGACTGCAGTAGGTTATGTATGAATAAGGGAGTCACAAGTTAGTGTTTTCATAAGGAACACATTACTCCCCACTATTTATTTATTGTTAAAGAGAAAAAAATGATTTATTCAAGACACCAAGTTACAAATTTGCTGTCTGATGTTTCAGCAGGTGGCTGTTCTGCCTGCAGGCAACTGCATTAATAGTCTTTGTGCAGAGACAGATGCTGTACTGTTGTGTTGTGACAGCACATGTAGACTTGCTATGACAATAAACCCCTCCATTAAAGTGAGAGAGATACAGTGAGGCCCAGTGTTTACAGTGTGTGCAGGTGGATTGTTAGCTGTTAGCGCGGAGGTGAAGGCAGGAGGGAGATGAGTGTTTGACTCTGCTGCTCAGACGTGGGAGCGCCGGCTCGGAGGTGTTGCTCTGAGTGTTAGAGCTGCTCAGTAAATGAATAAACCTGGGATTTATTTGTACCAATATTCCTGACGACTGTTGATGCCGAGCTGCGAACAGCGAGGGAGTGTGAGTGCCTCAGAGGCCTGATACAGGATATTAACTCCGGATCCACATCATTAGTTTCACTGAGGAGACGCAGAGAGCTTTACTCTGCTGCTCCAAAACAACTTTTACTGTTATTACTGCTGCTGATGACCCAATACACACACACCGATTGATACTCATTTACTTTCCAAAGAAGAACAGGTGTGTGCAGGTGTTCTTTAAACAACAGGAAGTTAGTTATTGTGGCTTATTGCTGTGATTAAGGTAATTAAAACCAACTGTGGCAAAATCGCACTTCTTCTCCGAGTCGTAACACAGTCAAATCTGGACACAAAGTTTTAGATTCAGTGTGACTTACACTCCCTGAGGATGTTATTATCTCTGATGTCCACTGGGAATAAATGTCAGCAGTCCGCTTAGAAATTACAGGAAAAGAGACGCTCCTTATAACTGCAGAACCTGCCTTACAATCAGCATGTTTTTAAGTTTCCGTCAGTATCAGTGTAATCCAGTGATATTAGTCTGTACATTCTGTAGTACGCTGCCAACAGGAGCTGCTAACAGCTAATTTGGCTAACTTTTAATGCTGCCAAAATGTAAACAAATATTGTTGCCTAACCCTAACCTCCTGGAGGGACTGAGAAGTGAAAGACAACAAAGACACTAAACAACCTTAATGTCCTCATAGCTGCACACTAGAGGTGTCCACATACCCAACTGGCACTGATGTCACAGCTGAATAATGTTAAAGTCCAGGTGAAATGAAAAATGGCATTTCAATCCTTATATTGTTCCCCTATTTAACAATTTATGACAAAACATTCACAAAATCTCAATTTCTTTTTATATCAAAATCCAACATGTAAATATGAGGAAGCTAACAGCTCTCTGATTTCTGTTTCAACAAGACAGTTGGTAAAATACATCCAGTTTGTTGGACGTTGTTTGTGTCCAACTGTTTTTATTGTGATGTTCAAATGATTTTCAATCCACCAAGCAAGATGATCTGAAAAGACATTTCTGATTTGTGGATGCTGGATTAGTCGAGAGGGATGAAGGTTTATTTATGACGGAGACAGATTGAAGCCAACTCAAATGCTAAATAAAGATACAAACAAAGCTTCATTGTGACACGTTTCTTTCTACTGAATTGATTTTTACTCCTCGGCTCCCTCAGAGATTTGTGTCTTTAAGTTTTAAACAGGCTCCTTCTTCTCTGTTTCTGTGTTGCAGGAGCTCATCGATGCCGCCATGATGAGCACCAGCCTCGGCGGGATGGCGGGCGGAGGAGGAGGTGGAGGAGGAGGCGCGGCGGGCGGCGGTTATGGAGGAGGAGCGTCGGGTCTCGGAGGCGAGAACGGCCGCGTGGTGGCGCACGATTTCCCGAAAGCCGGAGCTCAAGGTTTACCCTGCATGGGCAAAGCTGCCGGCCTGGGACTGTCCTCCACGGGCATGTGATCAAAACACAGATGCCTGATTGGACGGAGCGTTCCCGCCTGCCTGCCTGCCTGTCTGTCTGTAGGGAAAGAAAGGAGAAGGAAGGGGATGGAGGGAGAAGAGAGGAGATTTAAGTACGGAGAAATTGAGAGAAAGCAGGCAGGAGGAGTGTTCATTTTTCCCCGTGACTGGACTCTATATACAACAGAACTCTGATGAACAGAGAGCACCTGAACACAACACCTGGGCTGAGTCGACGAGCTCCTGCAAGACAAGAAACTGGGCTCAACGACCTACAAACACTGAAATTCTACTTTTTCTATGAGCGCTGTCTTAAACTTAACTCCTCCTCTTCTGCAATAATAACCCAGGAACAGAGGAAGGACTCGTTTTTAAAAAATTCTTAATTATTGCACCCGCTCTTCTTCTTTTCCTCAATCCGCCCCTTCACCTCTCCTTCTCCTCCAGTTGGGCAGTAACACCAAAAGCTTCGTCACTTTCACACTAAATGCCACTTTCGTATCCGCGGGGGGTTGAGGAAGTGTGAGCATGTAAACATTTTAAAGCATTTCCACACACGGACACAATGATACAGTTTCAGTGTGAAGAGTTTCCTGCTTTTTGTTTGTACATTTTGTGGCGAATGTACGCTGATGTCGTTAGAGGTCTTCAGAGGTCCAAAAAACGTTGGACCCGATCTGAAATATACCCGACCCGAAGACAATAAACCAGTCAACCTTTATAGACCCAAACAGAGAGAGAAGACCACAACCTGCAGTAACCTAATCCATGTATCACAATATTAAAGTAACTTGATTACTTCCCATTACTTTTGGATTACGTCAACACCAAATAAAGACAAGAGAAATCAATATCAGTAAGAAGCAATGATGTAAATGTGTTCTGTAACAATCAAAGGAAATGGAAAGATGTTTAGCATCAACGTGTCCTCTGCTCCTATATTTTTAAAGAATTGTAATCCTGCGAAATAATCCCCATTTTACTAAATTTAACTGTAATCTGATTACATCTTTTTCTGTAACTCTAGTGGTTTACAGTTTTGGTATCCTGATTACATAACTCAGTTACATGTAATCAGTTACTCACCCAAAGCCCAAGCTGAACAAACCATCAATTAACACAGAAAGTCAACTAAGTCCAAAAATGGAATCAGTTTAAATGTTTCAAAGACAGAGATAAATAAACACAAATACATTAATAACTAAAGTTCTGTTTTCACCTCCTGCGAGAAAAATAATTCTGTGATAAAAGATTGTCATTAATTTCGGTGTCCACCAACTATAATACCTGCTCACCGCCTCCACCATAATTAGCTTTTATCACAATACAGTCGGACAAAGGACGCTACAATCATCACATGACGTAAAGGTTGATTTATAGTTGTTCGTAGGCTCTACATCGTGGCCTTCACAAGTTATCTTCTCTGTTATGAGTGTGTGTGCTGGTATGTCTGCAAATAACGCCGCCAAAACGCTAGTCAATGGAGGGTTTCCTCCCTAATCTCTCGCCGCGTTTTCCTCGTTTTCAGACGAGTGAGGCTGAACAAGCTCTGTAGATATCATTATCAGTGTTAGATGGATTACATTAACGGATTACTCTCTTACGTAACAACGAGTAGTCATCCGCTCCACGTGTGTTTGATGACTGGATATTGAATCATCGACGTAAAATGTTTAAGTCACAACTGGTACAAAGGTCACAAAGGTGCCTTTAAACAACTGCAACGCCTCCACACTTCTGTTTAAAACAAACAACAGTTTTTGTTGGTTTAGCCTCGGGAAGTGCTCGCAGTGAATCCTCCAACTCCTCCAAAACTGACCCGAATGAAGGGTTACCAACCAAATGTAGGCAAAGCTATCGATGGCTAACTAAAAGCAGACACAACGTGCAGTAAAGAAGACTATGGAGCTAGCGGGAGGTAGTAGAGGCTTACCTACCTGGATTGTCCCATTTTCAAGCTAGATGTCCTGAGTCCTGACAAATAACAAATCTGTAAAACACTTAAATGTCCTTTTTTCACAAAAATAAAAACAATAATTATTAAAAAATATTTGTTTTTATCGCTTATAAAGTTGATGTAATGCACCACGTTTCTGAATTATCCTTCGCAGAGCACCCAGGGACAAAATTGATGCATTCATGGCGTCTATGGTACTGAAAGGTGTGCTCAGTAGGTGTCCTGAGAGCTGAAATAATCGGCCATCCTGGTGAGACTACCTATGGTTTGAGGTTTGGGGCTTGAAAATATTTTCACCGGAGGCTATTCACTTCACTTCGGGCTTCACTGAGCAAGCTAACGGATCCTACAACCATCTGTCTTCTGAATGCAAGAAACAGTCCATCAAACTCCTGTTACGATAATGAACAAATGCTCATTTATCTAAGAAATATTATATAATTACTGAGTTTCAAATAGTAATCCTTATACTACTACTTGCCGGGGGAAAAAAATGATTGCATAACTGTAACTTTTTACTAAGGCTGCCCTCGACAAATCCCAGTGGACTGAACGATACAATGGATGATGGATAACAATAACAGTTACAGACTAATTAACTGGCTACAAACTGGCTCCTCTTCCTCCGTTTCATTCTCTTCTCATTGACTAACGATTAAGTGGACTATTAGGGGGCAGCCCTGCTTATTACTAAGTAATGCATCACTGGCCGACAGTCATTATCACGAACCACAGCATCAGAGATACACATTGGTATTAGACACACTACCATAACGGCTCAAGCATAATTTGGACCCGTCTCAGTTCAACAGAGCCGAGTGGACCCGTGAAGACCTCTAATTGGTGTTTTCTCCGCCACAATATTTACTGCATTATGCTGCTAATACGAACTCAACACTACACATAATGATAAAATAAGACAATAACACTTCAGTTAAGTAATCTGGAACAACGTAATGTTAAAAATAACATAATTGTATTGAATTAGTTAAATTAAAGCAATGGAAATGTACATTTTGCTGAGTTGTACATTATATAACAGACACCAGGAGTTTATCTGCCCTCATTTTCCCGCCTTTAAATGTTGCTGGGCAACCGTGCCCCCGACTATTATTTGAGAACCAGCTCTTATTTGAGGAAACCCCATTTTCAGAGCCCCCATTTGCTCTCAATGCTGCTGAAATGATCAGAACGAGACATGTTTACGAGTTAATTCAGAGGAAGAAACTGCTGTTAAACATATTGGGGTGAATCTTCCTTTAAATCTGAGGTTTTGTGGACGTTTGTGAAACGTACAGTTTATGTGAATCTGCTCTACCGTGTGGTTTAAACGACAAATCTCAACGCGTTGTGGCTCCACTGGTCACGTGTTGGTCGAACGGCTGCTTCGGTTGAGTTCTGGTTGACGTCACATTTCTTCTGTATTTTCTCGTCCGTGTTTTCTGAACTGAACACAAGCTCTAAGGTATTGCAGCAGAACTTTTTATACTCCGAAACTGAACAAAAATCAGGAAAATCGTGTTCACATTTGTATGATATGAATGATACACGTGCCGAGCTACACTTGTTTGTCTTAATAATGTTATTTTTAATTGTTCATAATTGTCATCAGTTTATAATGATTTTGATTTTGTTGATTACATTCGGATCAGTTACTCTGTTTAATAAAAAGTGAACATTATCTCGACTTCTGTAGTTTGTTCTGTCTCTCCTAAAGATGAATCTAATGTGCTCTCCTGGAGAGACTTGATATGGAACAACTGTCCATAAATATATTCTTTAATTTACGTTGGAGGACTTAGTGGTGCTTTGTCAAACATTTATCTTAACATAATCTTTGCTTTTGTTCTAGGCTGCAGATTCAATGTTTTATTAACCCTTAAGGTCAGTGGTTCCCAACTTGGGGTTTGGGACCCACACAAGGGTTCCCATGGGGGATCGCGAGGCCTTTTTGATTTTAAGGTGTGCTAGAAAATGTAAAAAATATACACAGTAGACCTATATCTCAGCATTTGGTTCACTTCTGTGAAGAAAAGTAAATTAAAATTTTAATAGAACAATGACCAAGCTGAATTTGTTAGAAAAGAAGGTTGTATGATCGTAAAACAAGTTTTAAAAAATACATAATACAGGCAGAGAATCGTATAAAAAGTTCCCAAAACAGGAAATAATCAGTTTAAAGTTAATTAAAATCACTCGTTTTACACAAACGTCTTCCAGTTACTGAGTTCACTGTTTGGGTTAATGGTGCAGTTTGTGAAATATCCATAAAACACGTCAGTTTACTAAATTATAGAAAATTAGTAAACTAAAAAGTTCTAGAAAAACTGAGATTAAAGGTGTTGTAGTAAAAGCGAGTTTATATTTAACGTATCAGAAAGAGTTTTGATGGATTTTACACGCTGTCCTGTTCACCGCCTGCAGTCTCTCCTGCTCTTTAAATCATTTCCTGTAATATATCTGCTGTATATTTTCCTCATCTGTCACGTTATGAAATCATCTGTTGGTGCTACAGGGCGACACCACGATGGGAGGTTGAATCCGATTTTATCTCCCGTTTCCAGCTCGACATGAGACGCATTAGAACTCTTTATTTCAAGTCTATTGATGGTTAAAAAAAAAAAAATCCCCTCTAAAGACCAGCGCGGCTCTGTCAGATGAAGCAGCGTGATACAGAGTCTCTCTCCAGTTTAATTATCTGCCGCTATCTGCCGTGACCAATGGTCTGCAGAAAGATGTTAAAGACGTCAGACTCTGAAAGAAAAGTTGCCAAAATGGTGAATATATAAAAACACTTAAATTAGACGGCAGGAGCTTTTCTATTGAGCGACACTCCAGAAATCCACTTTAGACTTGACTGACAGGAAAATTCAGGCCCTGGTGGAGAAACCGAGGCAGATCAGAGAAATCTCAGTCTGGTATTGAAATGATGATGTGACAAGAGAGTGCCGACTCTTCAGCTGACATTGCTGAAGAAAATTACCCTGCAGAAAGCACGACACATCAATACGATCAATACGCCTCCAGTTTGAGAAACGACAAACTTGTTTTCTGGAATTCGACGGCACCGAAAGGTCAACAGGAGTGTATGTTGGAGCGAAAATGTTATTAAACATTATGATGGGAATAATATTCTTATGTTTATTTTAAATGGTTTCATAATTGATTTGACACCTGATTCATTTGATAAAAGAAAAAAGGTTTCTTTCTTTTAGAAATCTCCAGACGACGGATTGGAAAACAGCTTTTCCAAAACGATGACATAGATGAGAGCAATTACTTACAACTTCAACTCCTTTTGGGTGTAACAATTACTATGAGTTGAGGTCAGTGGTTCCCAACCTGTTGTAAAGTAAACTGACTCATTGATATATTTTATTAATATTTAATATTATATTCAACACATACAGAACAACTGATGATTGCAGTAAAGCCAAATATGAATGCAATAACTGCAGAATGATTGTGAAAAACAAGCAATTTGGATAGAATTTCATAATTTTTTAATTTATAATATTCATAATATATAATATTCACAGAAAATACTTTTATAATATTTTTTGACATTTTTAGTCACTTTTTATACAATCTTCTGTCTGTATAATGTGTTTTTCTAACAACCATATGTTCTTATTAGAATTCTTTTATTGACAAATTCAGTGCTTTCTTCTCTCTCATAGATCGTTTTCAGCTCTTAAATAATCTAAACCAAAAAACAACTGAAATGATTTTTACACCCCTTAAAATCAAGAAAGCCTCGCAACCCCCCGCAAATCTTTGGTCACAACCCCCAGGTTTGGAACCACTGGTGTAGGTCATCCGCAGAGACGATGAAATTGGGTAAACTGTGATGGACAGTCAATATGTGTAGTCAATAGGAGTAAATGATGTGTGAGCAGATTGTGTCTGTAGATTGAGACAGAGAATCAGAATAGTCTTAGTGATGGTGAAAATAAAGGTTTTACTTCCTTAAA